GTGTGTGTGTGTGTGTGTGTGTGTGTGTGTGTGTGTGTGTGTGTATGCGTGTGTGGACATCTGGGGATTTGTCAGTCTTGGATTTTATCTATCACAACCATTACTAACAGCTTCAAGCATAAATTTAACATTTGACATGGCTGGATCTAGGGGACTTCGCTTGTCACCAGGATCCTGGTGTTTGAGATTTGGTGCCTAAATGTGGAACCTCATTCTCAAATAGGCTTTTCTCATGAGGTGGTAAAAAACAGCTCCTGGCTAAGTCTAGTAAAGAAGAGAAACAGGATGTAACTACTGGGGATCTATACTGACCATGTTCAGAGAAGTTGGCCAGAATGAGAACTCAGGAAAGACCACTGTATGTACAAGGTAGAAAGCTAGCCTGGCTTTTTAATAAAAATAATTTGCTAAAACATTTTTTAAAAAAGTAAGTGTTAGTGCTGGGTGCTGATGGGTCATACCTTATAATCCTAGCTTACTCCAGAGGTTGAGATCTAAGTTTCAAGATTCAAAGCCAGCCTGGGCAGGAAAGCCCTTGAGATGCTTATCTCTGATTAAAAATATCAAATAGCCAGAAGTAGAGCTGTGACTCAAGCAATAGAGCACAAGCAAAAAAGCTCAGGGACAGCCTCCAGGCCCTTGGTTCAAGGCCCAAGACCTGCTCAGAAAACAAATGAACAACAACAACAACAAACCACCAAACTATAGTGATAGAAATTAAACTCCAAAGCTTGAAAAGCTGTTTGGAATTGAAATACTAACTGGAATTTCTACCATATTTTCAACCATTTGTTGCTGAGCAATGAAAGAAAGGTGACAAGCCATCTGAGCCTGAGGAAGGCCTTTCAGGAAGAGCAGTGGTTGAGTATTTTGTGGGCCAAAGAGAAGTTTCTAGATGAAAGGAACGAGACAGGAAGGGATAGGGATGGGGAGGGGGCAGGTATAGGTCACACCTGACCCCACCAAGAGCTGGAGTCAGTAGAAAATGGATTAAGATCTCAAGTGGGGCAAGGAGGGTCGTCACTAGAAGTTTTCCCCTAGATTTGACAGCTCTATTTGTTTTAGTGATTTCTCATCTCTCTGGAATAAGCAGGTATCATTCCCCCATGTAATCATTGTACAATGATGGACTGTATTCAAAAGATCCTCCATCTCTTTGTCTGGCTGTGTCACTGGCAGGAAGATGGTTCTCAAACCCAGAACCTCCATCACCTGGGAACTTGTTAGGAACATGGATTCCCTGGCCTGATCTCAGGGATTTCTCCAGTGGAAATTCTGAGGATGTCTCCCATTAATCTGTGATTGTTTTTAAAGGCTCCAGCTGCCAGCTTTCAAATGAGAACCATTGCCTCCAAGACCCCGCTTGTCCTCAGGCAGGGTGAGGTTTTCAGTAAAAAGGGAAACAGAATCAAGAATATGAGTTCCTGCTGATGAGGAGGTGGAGGGGTGGCGGTATCAATTGTGGAGGAACCTGGCAGCTATTCAGAAGCCACTAAGGACTAGAAGAGGAAGGTGTTAGAAGCACAGAAGCAAGAAGGCCGAGTTGTCATTGTCTTCAGGCTTGTGGAAGGCTTCCATTGGACAAAAGGCAGCATGGCTTCATGTCCTTGGACAGTGGAGAAAGGTGTGCATGGTGGGGGAAGGCGGGGAGTGATAGTTGTACAGGCATCATTCCTGTCTGGCAGAGGTTAAGTTCCAGAACTGGTCTTGGATGTGGATCACTGAATTTAGAATCAGGCTCTTCCATTCGACATTTGGAGCTTGCAAAAGAAGGGCATGGCAAGATTTCTTTCATAGAAGGCTTATAGAGTTTGTGGAGCCTTGAGACTTAAATAAATCCAGTGGCATATAACAAGGCAGGATGACAGTGTGCTAATTGGAAAGGACCTTGGGTCAGAATGTGTAGTAAAGACTACAATTGCTGTAGGCAGTCAAGAAGTGGAGAAATTGGCACAGTGTCATTTTTTCCTTTGGACAGAGGGTGAATCTATCAGCTTGGCATATTTCCCCAAGTCTGATGGCAAAGTATTGATCAATTTGGGCTGGATTTTTTTGTTTGGGGCATTTTTTTTCTCTCTGGGTTGGCTAAGGTTTGTTAAATCTGCCAGGTTAAAGTGAAGGGTTGTATTGGAAGACTTTGAACATGCACTGTTGTTCATGTGTTTGTTTGCATGCAGAGTAGGAGAGACAGTATTTTATCCTGGGTGTCTTAAATGGAAAGAGACTCAGAGAAGCATAGTTTCACTTCAGACAGCCTTTCAACATAGGAAAGACATAAATGAGCCTGCCTGAGGGGGCGTTTGTTTTGTAGGGTGAAGGATGCAAATTACTTATTTTCCCTAGTAGAAGCCATCTCTGGGATAGTAGGAATACGAAACCACTGCAGATGAACAAAGCTTTTCCATTGCCTTTTCCATCTTTGCATCATGCTCTCCTGTGGGTGGGTCATCAGATTCCCCAAACTCAGACAGTGAATGCAGGAGAGAACTATCCTCATGGCCAAGGGGAAGTCAGAAGCTTTGGAAACTACACAAAGGTACTAGGATTGTTTTCCCCAGAAGTTTGCATGCAGTGTGGTCTGGTGTTTGCTTTTTTTTTTAAATGGTTTTTCCAGCTGTGCACCACAGGTATGAAGAGAGCTTGATGATAAGGTAACTTGGGGAGCATTGCGGGGCAGGGCATTCCTTTCTAGTCATAATAAGTACAATGCCTATGAGCAAGGGTGTTCCCCTAGCAGAAATTACTACTGGTGATTGTCCTGGGGTCCCAGAAATCAGAAGAATCATCTCCCATTTCAAGGTATTAAAAATAGTCGTTGCAGCCGGACACCAGTCACTCACGTCTGTAATCCTAGCTACTCAGGAGGCTAAGATCTGAGGATCACAGTTCAAAGCCAGCCCAGGCAGGAAAGTCTGTGAGATGCTTATCTCCAAATAATCACCAGAAAACCAAAAGTGGCGCTGTGGCTCAACTGGTAGAGCACTTTCCTTGAGCTGAAGAGCTGAGGGACAGCACCCAGGCCCAGAGTTCAAGCCCCACCAATGACGTTAAAAACAAAACAAACAAAAAACAGTCATTGCTTGTATCTTGATAGAGGAGCCCCAGCTGAAATGTCTCCCCTAAAATGAAATAATTATTTCTTAAATGCAGGCCACCTGCTCCACCCACAGGCCGTTTTCTCTTTCTAGAAACCCAAGGTTGGTTTGTTAACTTTTTGTAAAGTGAGCCTTTTGTAGTTTCTCCTTCCAAAATAAGGTTATCCCCAGCGATAATAAATCACAGTTCTTACTTTTCCATTATTCTACCTAACTAGTTTCCAATCATATACAAAAAGCCATATGCTAGGGTTGTTAAATGTCCCTCTTGATTCAAGAAGTTCCTTGACTCAAGACAGGGATCTGTCTTTCTTGGTCATCGTGACATTGTTCAGTGGAACATAGTCTGGTGGAAATAGTTGCATGAACACTCTATTCAGTGAATGGTTAATAAGGAAGCACTTGGTAAATTGGATTCACTCTAAAAGTGGTGATTAATTATACAAGAGGCAGACACCTCTACCCTCCCTTCTGTCCTAATTTTGTCTCTCCCTTTCTTAAAATATACTTTGAGGTATGCTTGTCAGGGTTCTAACAATTCCAAATCTAAGATTTGCTATTTGTCATTCTTGCCTGGTTTTGAGTAAGGGACGACTTTTTTTTTTTCACTCTTAGGAAATAGTATTTACTTCAACCACAGGGCTAAGACTACAACTCCCACTACAACTCAGTGCATACTCCAGACTGTGAAGGGACAAAGCTGAACCTGGATAAGTTATATGGAAAGCAAACAGGATTCTAGCCTAATAAAGTGTGTGGCTTCCATCATTCCCAAAAGTACCAATAGAAGTTCTTGTTCCTCAAGCATGCTCTGGAGTCCACAAGGCAAAATAACTCAGTTATTCTGGACTGGAAGCAGATCTTCCTGGGTTCATCTTAAAGAGGGAGAGGGAAAAAAAATATCAAGAAATCCAAGTGTGGAAAATATTCCTGATTAGTCTATGAATCGGCCTTTTCACTAAAAGCAACAAACCTTATCCAGGCCTTTCCAACGGGGCCTTGGTGTGCCACTTCTGGGTCTGTGTGTTACCTTTGGTGGTGGTTGGAAATGGCAGGTGGCCAAGTGGAAAATTTCACAGCCCTGCAAACATTCAGAGCACAAAGCAGTGCAAACCTGAAATCCATCAGATGGCCCAAGTAGCCGTAAGCTTGCCTTACTCTGTGCCTCTTCCCCTTCACCTCGCCCCATTCCTTCCCTTTCTTGGGAGATTTCAGACATTTGTGATCCTATTCTCCTCTCTCCCCTGTCCTGTAGCACTGTGAATTGGTACCAATATCTGGGTGCTCCAGGGAGAGATTACTGTTGAAGAGCCAGCCAGAGCTGGCTGTTCAATTCTCAATCCATGCTCAGTACCAGGCTCATGACCACTAAGAATATTGTGCAGTCTCCTTGGGAGCTGGAAAGATCACAAGAGCGATCTTATTAATCCTCCTGGCAACTCCGTTCAGTATGGAAATGGCAAAAGGTGGTTGTCCTTTCTTCCTTTTCGCAAAGTGTAAAATCAAGTGGCTTATTTTTGGATTTTGTTTTTCATGGTGCTGGGATGGAACCTAGGGCCTCGCACATTCTTGGCAAACCACTGAGCCTAGCTGCACCCTCCAACCCTAAGTGGTTGCTTTGGAGGCTGTGTGATCAAGTTGTAGCTCAGCCAGGATTGTGTCTGAAATACCCAGAATTGGCTTCAACTTTATGGCATAGAAAGAAAAGAAAAAGGGTTGAGGGGTGGCTATGTCCTGTTAGTTTCCTGAGGCAAGAGAAAAAATACATACGACATCTCTCTATTGGAAATGGTCTTTGGTGAATTATCATCAGTTCATCTGATTGATCTAGTGGCTTCATTTGCTGAGCTAATGAGTAATTCAATAATGCACTCACCTATTTATTTTCCTTTTGTTCTCTGCTAGGAATTTCTCGCTTTTCTATACAAGGAAGGAAGAATAGACCAGACCCCAGCCCCGGCTTCCATGGTGAAGTACAAGCCAAGGCTACTTGGGAACTGTGAGCAGTGAATGTTGTAAGTTGACCCAGAGCAATTGCTCTTCATCTGCAGAGGCTTGCCTTGTAAGAATTTGTGAATCATTGGCTGCAACCCAGCCAGGGTGATGAGGGGTGTTAGCAGGAACTCTAGCTGATCATCTAATTAATTCCTTATTTTAGAAGAGGAGTTTCTGCTTGTGTTTGCTATGAACTTGCCTTTCTCTCAGCTTCTGAACCCTGCTCATTAGTTCTGGAATAAAAGAGTGGAATTCAGTGATCTCTTTCATTGGAGGAATACCTGTTCTACTGGGACAGCTAATACTGTCGTTTTGAGCAGCCTCTGAAGGGGTTATTGCCGTTCTTTTAGGTTGATGAATAGACTGAGAATTGGTAACCAGGATTTTCATCCAACTAATGTTCTTTCTTATGTGAAACTTTGAATGGGAACACCTTTTTTTCTGGGCCTCACAATCTTGAAGTATACAAGTATGAGCAGTGACTTGTGGTCCTCATTCAAATTTTCTTATTCTACTGACTTTTATGAAGCTATTTTCAATTTTGAGATTAGCAAAAGAAAGTCAGATGAATATTATTGAGATGTTTTAATATCAGGTAATTAATAAGATGACCTAATGTCAAAGAGTTCCTTTTCTATGAAACTTTAAGGGGGTTTTCCCAACTCTTCCACTTTTTGGAGATTTTACCTCTTTGCTAGACAGAGTTATACATAAGTTTTAGAAGAGTTGGAAGTGGTGCTGTGGCTCAAGCGGTAGAGTACTCATCTTGAGCTGAAGAGCTGAGGGACAGTGCCCAGGCCCAGAGTTCAAGCCCCACAACTGACAAAAAAAAAATAAAAAATAAATAGAAAAGTGCTGATTAGGAAACAATAGTCATAGGAAATGGAGTTTGGCCACTGAGCACCTTTGAGAAATAAATACTTTCTTCAAGGGCCAATTTCAACCTGGTTTTTCTGTGTTTGGTGTGTGTCTAGGCTAAACAGAGAAATTACAGTTTTGTAATATGCACGGATACTTTTATATGTTACTATGTGTATATATGTATGGTTTATATGTTACTATGTGTATATATGTATATATGTATCTTCATAATTGTTAATCACTGACTTTGTGCAGTTGCCCATAGACTATAAAAGGGCAAGATGGGGCATATATGAGAGGGAAAAAAATATAACAAACAGGAAAATTTCTGCTGAAAAGTTTGGCTTTTTAAACATTTGAATTAGACTATGTCTAGGCATCCATATTCCTTGAGGGTTAACTATTAATACTGAAATATGTATTGAAAATTTGCCATTGCCTTATAGTTACACAACAGGCAAGTATTTTATGTGTTTCCATTTGTACATATAATTATCTTGGTTCTAATGGAAATTACATAGCTTCTGGGATCAGTGGATCAGAATTCTAGGTCTTGCCATTAAGGTCAAGTATATTTATGATTCTGAGCAAGTCATTAATCCTCAAAATGGTATTGTAAAATTCTGTATGTTGCTATGTACTTTGTTCAGGGAGCGTTTGACCATGGCTGAGGCTTCCCAAAGGAGCAGAACATTGTGTAGGCACTTGAATACTTACCAAAAAGCTATCTCTTGTTGTAAAAGTTTCTATCACTATCAGAGAATAACTTAAGACTTTGTTGGATTTGAGTGCTAAGAGGTTTTACTAGAAAGTCTTTTTCCCAGTTGAATAAGTGTTGGGATGATAATATTGTGAAGGTGTATTTTTTAATCCCAGAAAGCACATGTATTACAGATAAGAGCTATATGTCTCAGTTTTCTATAATCAAGAAAGTTTTGTTTCAAATCTGATGTTTCTTTTTAACTATTGCTTTGAAGTGCTCATGTTAGACCTCAGACATTAAGTGAGGTTTTCAAAGATGTTCTGAATTGTAAACTTCCTAAGATGTCACATGGCCAACTTAAACTCATTTTAGAATCCTTCTGTCGTGAGAAAAAGGAAGAAAATACTGAATTTCAGTGAGCTTCTTACATGTGCTAAAGAGTTTTCAAAACAGTACTACTTCAGAAGGAAGCTCCCAATTTTCTTAATACATTTTGATATCAGTAAACTGTTCTAATCTTGGCACAATCTTCTTACAACATGAGATTTTTCTCTAGATCTGATGACTTGAGTATCTGGAGGTCAGGTTCTCATAGGGACAGTATGAAGCAAGAAGCTGGTAACTTTCATGGAACACGTGTTTGTACATAGATGGGGCATGGCTGAGGGTGTCTGGGCATGTAATACTCATAGCAGATGAATGAAATACTGTAGACTGCACCCAGATCATTACTCACTGCATCAACTCCTTTCTGTGGGTTGGTATCATCTCTCACATCTGTCATCAACTTCTCCTAACAGATGGCCTTTGCCATGAAGGTGTCTCAGATGTGGTATTCTGTGTGAGAAAGGAGCAGAAGTGAAAATGAACGAGTCAGGAGACCTAGGTTGTGCACATGATGCCGCAGGTGGCCGTAGAACTGTGAGCCATGGTACTCTGGGACCCATGGGAGGATGGGCAGCAAGAAAAAAGATACCTCTATTGTTGCTTCCACTCTCTATGTCTAACATTGCATAAGGTGATGAAGCACATTGGACCCTCCTAGAAATCAGTGATTGGTCATGATCTCATTTACAGTTGCTTCTAATACATTACCATGAAATTCTTTCCATAATACTTTCCTGTGGACCATATATAAACCTACAAGTATCTGTTTGAGAGCTTCTAAGAATACCATTTAGTCTTTTTGAGTTTTAGTGTCTGTATTCATTGATCATTCTGATAATTAAACAGGAGCTCTATAGTTGTACTTTCCCACCCCCTCTCTCTTTTCTATCTCTCTGTTTACCTGCAGTGCTGAGGATTGAACTCAGATCCTCCGACCTGTTAGTCAAGTGCTCTACCAAAAAGCTATGTCTCCATTCTGAGGTTTACTCTTAAACAACTACGATAATATTGTTCAGCGCTGAGCAAGGGGATTGGGATCTTGTATTTCTGGCCTCAGCTTCCCTAAATGGTCTTCTTTGGCCTTATTAAAGCTATTTGGCATGATCTATATGCAGTGGCAACACTCCACCTCTCTCCATCTTCTCCTTTTTTCCTTCTAAGCATTTTACATGTTATATTTTGGCTATCATCAGTCCCCTAAAGTAGACTGCAAGCTCCAGTAGGATGGGGATGTTCTTTATTGTTATTATTTCCTGGTGGATCCCTAACACCTGAAATCCTACTTGGTCCAGGAAATACTTGTCCAGTGATTATCTAGGGATAGAGTTAGTGCATGTTTAGCCTTGTCTTATATGGGCCTATGCCATGAGGAAAAAAATAGATAAACCATATTCTCATGAGAACTCCTTGAGTCTGATAACAGTTTGATGAGGGTAATGAACAGATGGCGTGGACAGACCCAGTCTTATTTTCTTTTCCTTAAATTTAGTCTATGATACATGCAAATAAATATGCAAGAGGAAATGATTTGTTTAAGAAAGAAAGTATGACAGAAATATCAATAGAGCGTGGGGATTTTTTCTGATACTTTTTAAGACTTCTACGCTCTCCCCTTTTCCATCTGAGTGGTTTGTGGTCTGTGAGCAACCTGCCCAGGCATCCTGTGACCCATGGTGCTTCTATCTCCTATCTTATCTCTCCCACCTTTGAGCTCCTGGTAATTCCCAAAGTGGGCCTGCACCAGAAGTGCTGTATCTACCTGGAAGTTGCCTCCCTAGAAAAATGACTGGCTGGCACTCCATCCCAGTGCTGGGCTTGGGAGAAAGAAACTGTGTGCCAGTACAAAGTAGGCCTAGAACTTCCTGTATGAACAAGGGATAGTTGACAAAAGCCTTCATAAGAAGACAACCTATTGCCTTGCTCTCAAGGACCATGGGAATAAAGGTGTCAGTGATTTTTCTGTTTATCAACATCCCCCCTTCTCAAAATACCTGCCCAGCAGGTCAGAATTAGGCCATCTTTAGGAAGAAATGGAAAATACAAACACTGCTCTGCCTGGATGAGTAGTGTTTTTCTGTCTTTGTAAATAGAAGTTTTGAGAACATGGGACCTGGATTTCTACTTCCAAGAATAAAGGAATTATATACGTACTCTAGTAAGAGCAATGTGTTGATCCATACCTTTTAGATTGGCCATCTGTAATACTATATTCTCTAGCATGATCATGAGATAAACCAGGGTCAGAAGATGAGGGAAGATTTTTGTTAAAAGAGGGAAAAGCAACCTCCCTGTGTTTAATCCTTGCTTTCAGCCTCTGGAATTGGCCTGTGTATCATAAAGGCAAAGAGCACTTTCCATGCAAGTAACTGGGTGTAATCTTGGCCCTTTTCCTCAGACTTCCTCCAATCACCTCTTCCTGAAAGCCTCACTAATTCCTGCCCATTTTTGCTTTGTGTTATTGGGTGGCAGGGGGCAGAAAATTTGCCAGAGTTGTATGAGATGCTGCTTCTGAAGGGAGATGTAAGTGTGGCTGGTCAAGATGTAGCCTTCCTGGGTTTCTTCTTGGCACCATCTTCTCTACGCTCTTCCTTTCAACATCCTGAAGAAGAGGTAAAAGTGCAAAGAACACCCAGAAGCAATGGAAGGAGAAGAGTTCATGAATCTACTATATTCATGTATTCTACTGTATATTCATTCATGAGGAAAAAGCAATCATCAATAGCCTAGTTAGAATGTTTCCTAACTGAACAGCCTTAAGGGAAAAAGTTGGTGTGTCTTATTGGAGTTTAGAATTCAGTACACAACGTACTGGAAGACTGTTGTGTACTGTTGTGTGCTCTGGTCTGCCAGAAAGGCATTGCTGAGTCCTCTGTGTTCACTGACACCTGGAGCTTTCTCTAGAGCATCATTGCAGGATGAATGTAGTGGTGGGGTTAGTTGTGCTGAAAGGGATGATGGGTAAGATTCCTCAGAGCCAAGTTTTGAAGGGAGGCTTCAAGCACTGCTGGGTTCTCTTGATTAGGCCTGTAAGCAAAGATAGGATTTTACTCTCTGTGCTTTTGAGAAGGA